AAGAAAGAAAGAAAAAAAGAAAGGTAGGTAGGTAGGTAAAATGAGGCCGCCGCTGCTTAGTGTCGGAACTGGCCTGCCTTGCAGCCTTGTGTAGAGCTCAGGAAGGAGCAAATAGAAGCACCTTGTCTCTGGGATGAAGAGCTGTGTTTCTAGAGCAGTCCAGCCCACTCTCACCAAGTGGTCCTTGCCCTGCAGTCCTTGTGTGAATGTAGGCTGAGAATTCAGACCTTCTCTTAAACGCGAGAAGATCGGAGGTTACTGCTGGGCTTGCCTCAGAGTGAAGACGCTGGTCGGTGGTGCACAGCTGTGCGCTCCAGCATCTGTGCTGCGCCGGCCTGCGAGCTGACTGAGCAGCCGCAAGTCCCTCTGCGTGCCCGCTCCTTCCTGCTCGCTGTCTGGGTGGGTTTGGGGGCTTTGTGGGTGCTAACGTTTGACGATGTTGAGATTCAGTGTCATCAGTCACACGGTCATCCCCTTACTGTAGAAACCCTAGGTGAAACCTGCAACTCACGGGCGGTTACTTGACACGGCCTGGCTTTCCCCTGCTGCTGCTTTCATCCATCACCATCCGTCATCAGTAACCCATCATTACTTAACCGTCACCACCTCAGCAAGCCTAGAGCAGGAGCTGAGAAAGGAGCTAGAGTTATACAAGCTTTACAGCTGGCAGAAGTTGAATAAAGGAGGCAAGAAACCCAACCTTATGCTTATGCCCTAATAGGTAGCTTGAGCCCCAAGCATGCCAGAAGCTTTTTTTTCTTTTTTTGTTCTTTTGAGACATGGATTTGCTATGCAGTTCAGGCTGGCCTCAAACTTGTGGTGATCTGCCTGCCCCAGCCTCCCGAGTGCTGGGGTCACAAGTGTGCTTGAGCACGCCTGGCCAACTTGAAGCTTTATTAGCATATGTTAAGTGAAAGAATTAGCAAGCAAATATGAGTAGGCTGATACAGTTGGGGAGGACATTTAAGTTTAATACTTCAGTTACTGTTAAGTTGTCATTGTACCAGTAAAACCGACTGAGGCACCAACATAATTTCCTACCTCATTGGGAAAGTCTGGCCTTAGATCTTAAACAGGGAATAAGTAGTAAAATTGATAACCATTTTGTCTTTCATCATTTGCAGCCCCCGAGTAGTGAGGAATTTGGAAGAAAAAGACATTCATCTACTTCTGTGGAGGAGAGCAATAGTCACAGACTTCTGTCTAATTCCTCGACATCACCCCCAAGTGCTGTTAAGCTGACACCTAGCGGGCAGCCTCAGGCGCCTTTAAACTCTCCCCGAAGGCTCGCTTCCCCGGAGTCCAGAGGCAGCTCACAGCAGAGCCGCAACGCGTCCATCTCAACGGAGGGTGAAATTCCTGAGAAATAGACTCTTAGGAAATCTGTGTGTCCTTGAAGTCAATACTTACATCAGTATCTGTTTGGAAAAAAATCTTCTGATGTTTAATTGTGATAATCAAAAAGAAGGAAGAAGAATAGTAGCATTTTTTAAAGCAAGATAAATTGCAAACGCATTTTCCCTGGCTTCACAAAGGAAGGATAGTTTTGGTGACTTTTTATAGAGATCCTCTAGTGATACATTTTGGTCTCAGTATTTTAACACGTTGTTTACAAGAACAGCATTCCTTAGATATGTTAAAGGCAGCACGAGGAATGCTAACGTTTCAGCGCGTGCTTCTTAAAGAAGATATAGTATGTTGTATTCATCCCTTCTGTAGAGTGAGCTCTCCTGATGATCCAGTTACTTCCCTATCAATTCATATTTGAACTTATGTTCATAGAAGATTACGTATGTATTTTTTAAATTCAGAAAAAAAGAATATGAAAGGTACATTTACTTTTTCTTTTAGATCTATAGTTTTAAAGGAAACTTTCTATGTTTCTTACAAAAGTAATAATTCACATTGCAGTATGTGCACTTTTGATGCCTTTTCCCCCTTAGTCATATCTCAGGATTTTCATAGCTGTGTTAGTGTGCAGTTTTCTGAATTGGCATAAACTGGTTACATATTAGGATTTACTTTTGTGATTCTGTATAAACTTGTAGTAATTAAACACTGCATTGGTATTGGTTAGAATATTGTCCTAAATAAATTAAAACTGCTGTGAATGTATCTGCTGTTTGTACATCCACAAGTGAGTATGTCACAAGCAGTCAGATCAATTTAAACGGAATATTTGTTTGTTTTTCTTTTAATTTTGTATTATGCTCATAAGTGCTTTCAAGAGTTATAACAAATTGGTTTCTAATTTTTATTGTAATTGAAATTGATGTAAATGACAGTTTCTACGTTTTATGGGATTTTTAAAAAATAAAGCATGTATTCTACATTGTTTGGATTGATTTTTAATAGTTTTTTCATTTGGAGTATACTTGGGAAGCTGTGATATTCAAATTCCGCTAGAAAACCATTATATTTCGTGAGTGAAGTTTCAGTGATAAACATCGTTTTCACTGAGCACAGCATGGTGCACAAATATTTTTTATTGACAGCAGCTAGTTTTAGTGCACTACAATCACTTATTTTCTTTTGAGGGTTTCCTTTCCTTTTTTTTTTTTTACTTTTTGAGACAGGGTCTCGCTATGCAGTTCAGGCTGGCCTTGAGCTCACTTTGCAGCCCAGGCTGGCCTTGAACTCACAAGGATCCTCCTGCCTCAGCCTCCCGAGTGCTGGGATTACAGGCGTGTGCCACCATGCCTGGCTCAATCACTTATTTTCTTTCTGAGTAAACTGGATTCTTGTTCTTATAAATCGTAATACTGATATTCATATAATCTTCATATAAATGGGAGGTTTATCAATAAATACGCTTTCATTAGGTTATTTCCCGTGTGTAAATTATAATCTGGAGTTTCACAGTATTTACTATGGAGGATAATATTGATGCTCTAATTTTAAGAAATAGTCAAATTTGAATATTCAGAGAATAAACTTTATTTACAAATGTAAAGAGGATGCAAAACAAGCAGTAGATAAGAATAATAAATTCTTGTGTTTTCTTGAGTGTGTAGTTCTGAGTTTTCAGTGACAAATTTCCAAACCATGCTTATTAGTTTTAAATGATTTCTTGAAGTGATCTAAAGTTTTCCTAGTATCCTTTTTTGTTGAATACATGCATGTGAAATCTGTATTTATTTATTTATTTTGTCTTTTTTAAAGACTGGGTCTCACTAGCAGTTCAGACTGGCCTTGAGCTTACTTTGCAGCCCAGGCTGGTCTTGAACTCCCAATGATCCTCCTGCCTCAGCCTCCAGAATGCTGCGATTACAGGCGTGCGCCGCCACACCTGACAAAATCTGTATTTAATTTAGGTTATTTCTGTTCAGCTAAATGCTCAAGTATAAATTTAATTAGAAAATTGTATATTTTTGTGGGACCATGATAATCAAGCCTTGTGGTGGGTATTAATTAGTAATTTTGTCATATTATTTGTATTATAAAAGTAATGCTTATACACTGGGAAACTTTTTAAAAAACAAGAAAATAATTTTTTTAAAGATAAAAATTAGTATCATAACTTTATCTACACATACAGAGTTGTGACCCACTTTTTTCACTTAGTGGAGTTGAAAATTTTCTGTTATTAGTATTTTTATATCATAGTTTTTACTAGTTGTGTAGTATTCCAATATATATGTGCATGATAGTTTAATAGCCAATTGCCTATTGTTGTACTTTCACTCTGGCCAGGTTTGGGCTATAAATTTTTAATTATTATTATTATTTTTGGGGACAGGCTTTTGCTTTGTATGCAGGCTGGCCTTGAACTCACTGTGTAGCCCAAGGTGGCCTCAAACTCCCTGCAATCCTCCTGCCTCAGCCTCCCGAGTGCTGCAATCACAGGAATGCACCACAACGCCCAGCTTAAAAAAATTAATTTTTAATATCCTTACAGACCAATTTTTGTATATAAACTTGGAGTTATTGCCTAGAAGTTGAAATTCTAAATCAGAATTCATCTGCACACATACACTAATAACATCAGCTTCCCTGAATCCTTATCCATACTGATTATAAATCTCTTTGTTAAACTGATATGCAAAAAAATTTAATCTCATGTAAATTGTATTACTGAGTGATAATTTATATTATCAACTACTAGCTTTCCTTTTTGAGTGATTATCATTTTTACTAACTTATAGGGTTTTTCTTTTTTTGCCCTTTTTTTTTTTTCCAGTACCGGGAATCGAACTCACCATCTTGTGCTTGCCAGGCAGGCACTGTGCCACTGAGCTAAATCCCCAGCCCCCTTTTTTGTCTTTTTGAAGCACGGTCTCACTGCAGTTCAGGCTGGCCTTGAACTCACTTTGTAGCCTAGGCAGGTCTAGAGCTCGCAAAAATCCTCCTGCCTCAGCCTCCTGAGTGCTGAGATTACAGGTGTGTGCCACCATGCCTGGCATTAGGGCTTTTTACTTATAAAATTATTAACTCTTCAGTTTCTTTCTTTTTTTTTTTTTAATTTTTTTTTTGTTTGTTTGTTTTTTTTCTGGTACTGGGAATCGAACTCATGACCTTGCGCTTGCCAGGCAGGCGCTGTGCCACTGAGCTAAATCCCCACCCTCTTAACTCTTCAGTTTCTAATTTTGTGGGTTTTTAAAAATTTAAGCATGTGGTTTATTTTTGTGGATGAGCCCAGAGGCAAAGGGTATGACAACATCTCTTTCAATACATTCAATATGTAAAATATATTCTTTCGTGTGTATCTGTCAAGTGATTTTCTTTTTTTTGTCCTTTTAAGACAGGGTCTTGCTATGCAGTTCAGGCTGGCCTGAGCTCACTTTAGCCCAGGATGGCCTTGAACTCACAACAATCTCCTGCCTCAGCCTCCCGAGTGCTGGGATCATAGGCTTGTGCCACCACGCCTGGCTGTCAAATGATTTTCTGTAGTAATCTATATAAACAAGCGAAAGGAGAATTATTGCATACAGACCAAAGACTGAAAATCACATGACAGTATGGAATATCTTGTTTTTATTAAAATATCCACTCAGGGATAGGGATATAGCTCAGTGGCACAGGCATCTGCCCGGCGAGCACAAGGTCCTGAGTTCAATTCCTCGTACCAAAAAAAAATAAATAAATAAAATATACAATCTGAAAGATGTAGCTTCTAGAGATTAATTTTTAAAGTTTCTGTCATTATCACAAAATTTGTTAAAATACCATATGTCAACCAAGGTGAGAAGTGCAGGCTATGGCCTTATAATGCTCTCCAAACTCTTATGAATGGTAGGCCTGATTTTACTGGCATATGCTTACCTAGATGATTATTTACAAAGAAGCAGTTCTAAGAATGACAACTATATGTGTATGTTTGACATGGTATATGCATTTTTGGTAAAATTTAAAATTATACCCCTTAAATAAATTCTAAATATAAAACTCAGGCAAATTAAAGCATTACTATTCAGTGGAGAAAAAAAAAAAACTTTTGACTATAAATCTAGATGACCCTACCCAAAATTTAAGTCCATAGAGACCTTAGGTACTTTCTTATAATTTTGCAAATTTTTAAATTTTATTAAGTTTTAAAAGCTGTATTAGAATGTTTACATTCAGACTTTTTTTTTTCTTTTGAGACAGGGTGTCCCTATGTAGTTCAGGCCTACCTTGAGCTCACTTTGTAGCCCAGGCTGGTCTTGAACTTGCAAGGATCCTCCTGCCTCAGCCTCTGCAGTGCTGGGATTACAGGCATGCACCACCACGCCCAGCTATTTTTGTTTTTTTAAAACAGGGCCTCACTGTGTAGTACATGCTGGTCTTGAATTCACAATGTAGCCTAGGCTGGCCTCAAACTTGTGGCAATCCTCTTGCCTCAGTCTCCCAAATGCTGGTATTACAGGCGTGCACCACCATGCCCAGCTCCAATTATTCCTTTTTAAAGGAATAATTGAAGCCATTTTTGGAATTCTTTATCCTGAAAGGAATTAGGAAGAGAGTTATGTTTAAAAATAGACATTATTTTAGATCTGGGCGTGCTGGCGCACGCCTGTAATCCCAGCACTCAGTAGGCTGAGGCAGGAGGATTGGTGCGAGTGGGAGACCAGCCTGGGCTACAGAGTGAGCTCAAGGCCGGCCTGAGCTGCATAGTGAGACCCAAAAAAAAAAAAACCAAAAAAAAAAAAAAAAAAGACATTATTTTAAAAATATATTTAGCTTTTAAACCTGTTTTGCCAGTTTAGGTCTCTGCTTGGCATTGTCTTCTGCTTCCTGCCGTTATACTCCGTGGTATTACCACTTTCCTTTGTGTGCGCAATCTTTTCCTTTAATTTTTTAGGTCTTAGGAAACTTTTTTTTTTTTAATTGCATAGGCGACTGATCCAAAATTCTGTACTGCCTAATTATCATATCACCACTAGATGGCAGAATAGAATGTCAGATATGTAGGCTTCATAGTTTTGGGGAACTCTCACTCCATCTAGTGGTGAAAACGTATAATTGTACCAAGTACTCTTAAATTTCTA